CCTTGCCGTGTCATAGAACCAACGTAAGAGCTAGACAAGAACAAAATAACAGCATAATCACAGCATCACTAGCTCATTACATTGCTTAACCGTTATCCATATTTAACATTAATTTGATACAAGTGACAAGAAGTTCAAATATACATTAACAAGTCAAACAAACCTTGTTCCCCTGTCGACTGTAGCTATCTTTACTTTGTTTTATATAACTTTTCTCCGTTGTTTTGATTTTCACTATTAACGTTGCCGTGTTTACTGTGCGTCGTTTCTTTATAACGTTTTTTCCTTCACTTCCGTTCACACCGGAAGTTATCAAAATAAAAGCGCAACCTTACAATTAAATGCCATAAACTGCGTGTTAATGTATATAAGAGCTAACTTGACCTTTACAGTAGATTTCTTATTTCTTTTTTGGAATAATATTTAATCTACTTCATAAATCGCCCAGCAGGGTGTAGTATTTGTTCTTGCCTAATCATGGATCCATAATAAAATGCTAATCGATAAAATGATAGTAAGGCCAACTCATTTTGTACTTTGTATCTTTATTCATGCTGCACCAATTCAAAAAACAGGCTACATAGTCCTTCACATTATGTAAAGCAAATTAAGGATGATCAAAGTCTGTTTGTCAAAGTGCGTCGTCCTGCTGGGTTGGGCCAACGCTGCAGCGTCAGTCAGATGGTAGTCACACTACACGAAACACGAAACTCATGCTTCACCTCTAAGAAAAGCATTTACACCGGATCGAGGTTTACCAGCAGGTAATTTGAGCAACTCCATGTCAAATTTCTTGCTAAAAATTCACTTGCCTTCTTTGAAGTTAAATTTTTGTTCAAGCTAATGACAAAAGGAAGCTAGCGACTCACTGAACTCACATATGTAGCCCTCATATTTTAAAATGTAAAACATTTTTATTTTTATTGTGTTTTTACTAAGCAATACCTGTCTGTTTGTGTCATATATATCAAAACACTAAGCTTAAATAACACAGTTTACATTTGTGTTGCTGTAGTTAGATGTTGCAAAATGTCGTTCACGCTTAACTTTCGTTTTCCTTAGGTTTCGTTTTGCCTTCAGTATGGCCGCTCTGGAGGATGCGCCGTTTTCTCTGCTCAGTTTGGAGGATGAGTTGAGCTGCAGTATTTGCCTTAGTCCCTTTGATTGTCCGGTGACCATTCCCTGTGGACACAACTTCTGCCAGAGCTGTCTCCTCGCCACATGGGGGGACAGTGCGCCATTCAGCTGCCCACAATGCCGCACGCACTTCGCAACCAAACCCGAGCTGAAGAAAAATACAGTGCTCAATAATGTTGTGGCTACTTTTAAGGTGAGAGCCAACAACCCCGAGCCTGTAAAGTTAATGGAGGCTAAAGAGGAGAAGGTCACTCCGGTTGTCCCATCTACACCTGCTGTTAAATGTGACACGTGCATGGAGGCGCAGGCTTCCAAAACGTGCCTCACCTGCATGGCGTCATACTGCGATGACCACCTGCGCCCCCACAGAGAAAACCCCGTCTTTCGGCTTCACCAGCTCACCGACCCGGTGGATGACCTCACTGAACGGATCTGCTCAGAGCATCACAAACTCATGGAGCTCTTCTGTCGTGAGCACAGCCAACCTATCTGCAGCTTCTGTCTCCAACAAGCGCACAAGGGGTGTACTTTTGTGTCGCCGGATGAGCAGAGAAACTTGAAAGAGGTGGGGATCTGTTTAAATACTACGTAATCTCATACTCGGTCAGTAATTCACACTAGTTGGATCTAAGGTATATTACTTCTGGATGTTCTACTGTTATTAATATATCATAGGCCTGCACCAGGTCTACTCCATGAAGATAAAGAGGTTGTCATTATTTGGATCCAGGCCAGCACTGGCAGTGCCCCCTCTCTCACTGCCAAAGCTTTTACAGAACAAGTTAAACTTTAATGTTAACCCTGGGATTAGTGTTAATTTCACAGTGTCTATTTTGCCTCCCCTTGTCGTGCACACTTCTGAATCCATAATTTACCAATTTGCATGTCTCTTTTCAGACTGATCTCCGAGCCAAGCTCTCATTTTTGGATGGGAAGATTATGAAAAATGCCACTGTCCTTTCTCAAATGAAGAATCAGCAATTTACTCTCAAGGTAAAACTCTATAGTGACAGCCCAGCCACCCTGACAATGAGTGTTGATCATTGTTATGGTGACTATTATTGCTGTGTTGTCTTTTGCAGTAGGTTAATGCTTAACAAGCAAAGCAGAAGTTACCTTTGATGCACATGCCTATTGGTGCAGCATTAAACTGAACACCTTTTATTAATTTCCAGGGTAATTTTAATAGTGCAGAAAGGTGCTTATGCACAAATAAAGCAAACAGAAGTTACTAAATGATGAGTTATCCCAAACAATTTTGAAATAAATATGATACTACGATACAAGGTTAAAACACATCATGTATGGGAAGATTGGATAAAGTTACATTTTTAAAGAGACTAAATTACAAACTACATCAAAATTGTGACTTAACCTAAAACTAAAACAGGACTAGAACACTAAACCCAGTCCACATGAGGACCACATCAGGACAAGTGTGGACGCAGCTTTAGATGTACACCCTAGAACCCTGACAAGAGGCTAGTCTTATCAGTCTTGTCAACTTTTTTTTCTTTCTACAGGACTCTGCAACCAACCGGAAGAAGGCTGTGTCAGTGGAGTTTCAGCAGATGCGTGAGATGTTGACCTTAGCAGAAAACGAGGCTCTGGGGGTGGTGGACCGTGAGCTGGAGACGGGACAAACCAAACTCGAGGGGCTCATGAAGAAGTTTAATGAAAATGTGGACAACATGAGCAAAGTCAAAGAGCAGATCTACACACTGCTGGGACAGTCGCAAACCCAAGCCTTCCTCCAGGTGACCTCATTACAGTTTAAAGCCTAACCTATATAGATATTGCTGTGGCCGATATGAAACCGATATAATGAGAGTTGAAGCTGCCGATAGCCGATATAATTGCCGATATATTTAGTGATGTAAAAATTCACTGTAAATGGTGAAATGTTTAAAAAACTTAACTTTGGCTCTGGTGGATTTTAAATTGGGTTTATTTAGGCAATATTTATTGTTATTCTGCCTCTTTACATCATATTTATAGACAGTAGGTTGGCTTAATGGCATTTTTGCATCACATTCTAGATACTAGTGATGGGTATTCCAGTTCTTTTTAGAAAACCGGCTCTTTTGACTTGGCTCACTAAAAGCTGCTGGTTCTTTTGGCTCCCAAGCGGCTCTTCAGATTGTTTTGTTGCAAGCAGGTCTAAAGCACGTCTAAAGCAGGACTGAATCACGACTGAACCAGGTCTAAACCAGGACTGAAAAGGACTAAACCAGGACTAAAACAGATCTAGACCACGTGTAAAACAGGACTAAACCAAAACTGAACCAGGACTGAGTGTCGGGACTTGGTCTCTATCTCGTGCCCAAGATTAGTCCTGGTTTATTTATTTTATGCTAAACTACAGCCAAATATGCTTGTTTTTGTTTTTTTTATCCTATATACACACAAATTTCTCAAAGTTTTGTTTTCAGCCGCTGCCGCTGTCAAACTACCACGAGTCTGCATGTTGCGTGAAGAGAAAAAAAGTGAGAGAAAGAGAAAACACGGCTCCCAATAAGGATCAGGTTCCCGTCGTTCGCTTCAAAGAGCCAGCTCTAAGAGCCATTTCGTTCGCGACCAACCCATAACTAGTAAAGAAACTAGCGCTATTAGCCTTTAGCCTTAAATACGTGCGCCCCGTGGTAATTAATTATGTGCGCAAATGTCATAATTCACACGTCTGTTCACAGCTCATTTACATATCAATGCAGGTCCAGTAACAAATATACGGCCAATGTAGTCAATTTACAATAGACCAATAGAAAACAGCCTGTTTATGTGCGGGAGCTACAGCAGCTAATCGCTAACAAAAGACCAAAACTGGCTTCAAAGTCGACTTATTTCCAACACTCACCGCTCACACAGGCTCCTCCCACATCACAAGTCTGTACTAATAAATGTCTTTTTAATCCAGACTCAAAGCGATTGTCCATAAAAAGAATATAATCTCAGTGTTTAGATCTGTGTCTGCGCGTGTAAACAAACACACGTGAGTGACTCGACTCTGTGGTGTGTTCAGGGACAGTACGGACACACACACACAGACAAATGACTCCGCAGATAAATACTGATGTGGAGCCACATATTAGGACATTTATCTGTCTGTAAATTGGATTAAATGAACAGAATGTAGAGAGTCTAAGATTTTTAACGACGTATCACATGCCCACGTGAAATATCGGCCCCTATCAGCAAGCATATCGACCGATATCCGATATGCCGACAGGTGCCCATATCAGCTTATAATATCGGCCAACCGATATATCGGTCGGGCTCTGTTACAGTTTAACAATCAGGAAATAAAGGTGCATTGTGTAACATTTTCTCCATGAAGGTTGTTGATTTGCCTACAATGTTCCATAGTATGGCATTTATTTATCTATCGCCATGAGACAATCAATCAGTCACTGCATTTATAGCATATATATAGCACCTTTCAAGATACCCAAAGTGCTTTATAGTTCATTATTCATTCACTTCACACTCTGTGGTGGTAAGATGCTATTGTAGCCACAGCTGCCCTGGAGCAGACTGATTGAAGTGAGGCTACCAATCTGCGCCATCGGCTCCTCTGTTCACCACCGTCAGTCATACACACTCCACTTTCTTACTAGGCAACAACAGTTTTTTTGACACTGGCGCCCCACTGTGGCACCTGGAATTCTCAGTGGTCTCCTATCCAAGTACTACTCAGGCTCAGCCTTGCTTAGCTTCTAAGATCGGACGAGACCAGGCTTTGACAAGCTGGTATGGCCACTTAGGTGATGCCAGAAGATCAGATTTGTGAAGAGGCTATTGTAAGACTGCATGCTTTTGAAGGTATTTCTGAGCAATAAAAACAGATGTAATTGAAAAAATAAGAAAGATGGAACATTCCAGGTAAAGAAATAACATTTCCATGGAGACAAGCAGACCCTCATCACAGAATTTACATAGTGCACATGTAATTACTACCATAATTTCTGGACTATTGAGCGGATCTGAATATAAGCCGAATCAACTACATTTTAAAAGAAAAAGAAAATTGTACATATGTATGCCGCACTTGTCTATAAGATGCAGGTTTATAGTTCGGGCCATGGGCTTTTTTTTTGCCTCTGAAAGCTTTTGTCATCTTTTTGCATTGAGCCAGTTCCTTATGCTGCCGTCGCCAGCGTCTCATTGAATCATTGATGCCAAGCTCACGTGCAGCAGCTCTATTTCCTTCTGTGTTGAAGGACAGCCTTTGCCTTTAGCTTAAAAGCTGCATCATCTGCATTTCTTTGTGTATTTTCCATGAGGAGGGTGTGTGTATGAAGCGCGAAATAACTGTTCAAAACACAATCAAACGAGCATCTTAGGTGCATCATCCCCGTCTCCAGGAGCTCTACTGCGCATGTCTCCTGTAGAGTAAGCCACTGTCCTGTCTGGTATCATGTCATTGTCTTGTTGGATTTCAGCAGATTTCAGACTGTTTAGTGCTGACAACAGTGCAAGCAAAAGCTGCAGCTTCATGTTAACTACACAGACACACGCACTTTCTGCACTCAGGCTGCTCACACATCCACTGTGTTGCCAAACCATAGACCATATATATGAATGGACAATGTTCCAAAAAATTATCTGTCCATATATTAGCCGCATTGTTGTATAAAACGCAGGGTTAAGAGTGTGAGAAACAAGTAGTGGTTTATAATCCGGAAATTACAGTAATTATGAACAATTGGTCCATTATAAAGAAAACTGTGGTTACAGTTAATAAAACATGGAATAAGCTGTGTGCAATAGTGCATCTAACTCAAGATCTCAATATCAATTCAATCTTCATATATTAAACAAAGTATTTTTCTTCATTGCAGGCTACAGTTAATCTACCCCAAGCAGTAAATTTTGACCCATACACACCTCGCGTCAACCTGGACTCTAAAAGGGTCCTGGCCTCTCAGGCTTTTGCCACTGCCCTGAAAGATTACTTGAGGGAGATCTTCAGACAGCCTGTGGAAGCCAGAATTTCAATGATTAAACAAGGTAAAATTTTATAACATTTGTCTAAGTTAAAGTAATTACTGTAATTGTATATTGAGAGAGAAGAAAAGTGAACATGTTTTGTGTTTTAGATGTTGTGGTTGAAGGTAATCCATCTGGTGAGTGAATGCTAAAGCTAAGAATGGACATAATCAAAACAACTAAAGATTATTATTTTTTATTTCCAGAAAGGGCCGCACAATATTATTCATGTACATAGATACTACATTAGTTGGAATATTTTTTCTCATTCTGAAACATTAAAATATGATCTGATCTCAACAAGAGTGCTTACTTCATCAGTATTGTGCAGCCCTGGATGGCAAAGTGGGGTTTGTGTTAGTGCTACTGATAATTTATTAATCAACAGGCCCTTTCTAAGTATCCATGTCTTTTCTGCTGGGTGGGTCTGCAACTTGCTTGTCTCCATGGAGATGCTATTGCTTGCATTTTCAACAGTATAGCATTAGACTTCTCTAGCTTACATTTTTGTCAGGTACAGCTGTTTTTATTGCATTCATTTATATTTTTTTTAATCCTTGAAAAACATCAGATCTGACCTGTCACCTGCTTGTCTTTATGAATGTATTGTATAATGCCATACTGGAACATTCCAGGCAAATCAATAACATCCCCTTGATGAGACACAAGAGACATAGCTTACACTTACATAACCTCCATCAGAAAAGTTACATAATACACTTTTTATACGTTTGAAGCCTGGAGTGAAAGTGAAGCTAAAGTAACTTTTTTTATCGACTGAACTAATTCTTTCTCTGATACTCCTTTGTGGTGTTAACCAACAGGCCGGATTATATTTATGTGTTAATGACTGAGAATGAAAAAAAGCAATTAACTGATAAAACAGCACATACTGTACTGTACTTTAATTACTTTATTTAGCAGATGTGCTCTTTTATAAATTTGTTGTTGTTTTGCTAATGACGATTTGTGTTGATTTTTAATCCTTAATTTGTCTATAATTGTGTCTCTTATATGTCAGGTGAAAGACCTCCACTAATGCTCTTTCCTGGGCCTTCAAGTCCAGTGCCGCTACTAGGTTTGTGCATTTGCACTATGAAAACATAAAACCATATTAACGTGTTTGTTTTTTGTTTATTTGTTGTTGTTATTTTTCTTTCCACTAATAAAATTTTAGAACCAGGATTCAAAAAGCTCCCAAGGTCTCACAGCCCAGGCCCTGGTCTCACCAAAGTGCCACAGAAGAAGAAGCCACCAAGTGAGTAGAATCACAATTATACAACTGGTTAAAATAACCATATGCTCCTTCGAGGTTCACCACAACAATTCTATAAATGTACTCACCTTTGCACAGTAACATATATTGGATATAAGCAATATTCTTGATGCCAGACAACCTGACATTTCTGACCTCTGTCAGTCTTCATTTGTCAAAGTTTTGGGCCTACACAACAAGTACTTTTTTTGTGCCTCAGAGCAAAACAAGTCTTCAGAAGGCAGTTTGGAGCACCTGAATCGCTCGATGGATCGTTTGGACTCCATGACAAAAGACAAACCTGGAGCCCGTCCTCATGTGTCTGAACGGAAGGAGAAGCCCAGTAGGCCTCAGCCTCCAGATCACAATGGTACTGCGAAGAATGGTTGTTTTAAATGTTCTTGTTAGATGGTTAACTTGTCATTTGTCTCTTTGCAGACCATACTGAGACGCCCCTGAACATCACAACTGGAGAAAAACGAAATGAACTTCTGAAATGTGAGTGCAAACAGCTTTTAATTTATTATTATTATCCTATTTATATATTTGTATATTACTTGTGACTATTTCCTACAATTTTCAATATTTATTTTCTTCACAAACTGATGTAAAGCTAAAATAAATATTCATTACCTGGATTATTCCACCAAAGTAGTTATTAGAAAAACATGTAAACCTGTCAATATCTGCACTGCTCTCTCTAATGGGGATGGGGCAATAAACAATATCTTTTATCATGATAAAAATGGTAGACAATAATCATTTGTGGGATATTTTACATAATCGTGATAATCACCATCAAAGATCATTGCCACCAGAATGTGCAGAAAAAAGCTAATTATCCATTATGTTCTCTGCTAGATTGTAGTTGTTTTCTCTGATAACAAAGTACGATTATATAAAAGTTGTTTAAACATGGAAGTTATTCAAATTTAAAATTATAATTAATCATATCCGTAACAATTTTTAAAATGTCAGCAACTGTAATAATTATCATGATATAATTGTTAATTGCAATTATTTTTGCTATAGTAATTGTGACACCAAATTTCAATATCATCACACTCCTACTGTCGAATTGTGATTCCAAAACTAAGTAAAAATAAGTGCTTATAGATTTTGCTATCTCAATTTCAGCCATGCAGATATTAAAATGATGTAAACTTTTTACCAGATGGCACGGTCCTAACTCTGGACCCAAAGACAGCTCACAAGCGCATCCTCCTGACCGATAACTTCACCAGAGCTGTAGTGTCAGACGAGCACATAAACTACCCTGACTGCCCCGAACGCTTCGCAGTCTGCTCCCAGGTCCTCGCCTCAAAGGGCTTCTCTACAGGACGCCACTACTGGGAAATCAAGATGACCAGCAACAACTTCATAGGCATCGGTTTGGCTTACGACACCATTGATCGTAAGGGGCCGAATAGTCGCTTGGGTAGAAACAAGCAATCATGGTGCGTAGAGTGGTTCAATGTTAAACTATCGGCGTGGCATAACAGCAATGAGTCTGTGTTGGCTAATCCCAATCCCAAACGTGTGGGCGTGCTGTTAGATTATGAGGGGGGAACTGCAACCTTTTACACTGTGGCAGACAGGGCCTATCCCTTCCACACTTTTGTTTTCCCTTTCGCTAAACCAGTGTACCCAGCATTCTGGATCTTCTCAAGTGGGTCGTCTGTAAGTTTGTGCAAGCTGGTACCCTAAGATGCAAAGATACAGACACCTACCAATAAAAAACGGTAGAGAGGAAAAGTACATTTATAAAAAAAAAAAAAAAAAAAAAAAAAATCTGAACACGTGGTCCTAAATAAAAATAATATAACGTGTTTGATTCGTATAACCTGCATAATAAATTAACCATTAACAGTACACTTTTATATAGTACTCTATTCTCATGTACCTAAAAATCACTCGATTGTAAAATGTTAAAATTAAAATGTAAATGGTTGCAGTTGCTTTTGGAGCAAGAGTAAAAATACTACATCAGTTTTTATAGGCATTAATGCCAGGGATTAGAAGGCACTATTGTAATTCTGTTGGGCTGTGACCTGTTATGAAAACAATCAGTCTTAACAGGATTGAATGCACAATGAATGCTCCAACGTTTTGTTTGTTATTAAATGCCGAGATATTCATAACTGCATAGTAACACATAACTCATTGTCCATTTACCAGATGGTGCAGTGGTGTTGTGTACTTTGTGCTGTTTGAATCTGTTATAGTGAATATGGCCTGGTAAGGTCTTATTTACTTTTGGGCATGTGATGTTCAGTCTCCAGGGAGATGGTCGGCTATGGGCTATGTTATTATTAACAAAGAGTAAGTGTAAGGAAAGTCTCACAAAATGCCATAAAGGTGACCTGCCCAGCTTTTATGTTTGGGGTCACACTACTGCATGTTATTACTTTGCCTGGGTTAGGGTTGCCAGGAATGTTCCATGGTATGGCATTGTACTTATCAAATTCAATTACATATGTTTTTGTTCAAAAATATATAGAAAAACATACATTCTTATTTGAGGGTTGACATGCCTCTCCAGATATGACCCATAACTTTAGATGGTGGCATTGTCTCCATGGAGATAGAAAAGTTCAATGCCAGACTGAAACACTCAGGCTAAGCAATAACATATTTATCATGGAGACGAGCAGAAAAGTTCCACAATGCACGTTTGACAAATTATGTTTTACGATGTATCCATGCACATGATGAAAAGAATATGGTGATGAGGTGCTGTATTAGATGTATTAAATTTATTAAACGTACGACATATCCACTAGATTTAGTACACAGCATGGTTAAGATTTGGTAGTGAAAAACAACATTTTTGTATTTCATGCTTTATATTACTTATAATCTAATAATAACAAATTTGTGTACTTGATTGTTATAGTTAAACCAGTATTATATATATATATATATATATATATATATATATATATATATATATATATATATATATATATTTTTTTTTTTTTTTTTTTTTTTTTGTACTTTTCCACAATATTGTATTGCATTGCTCCAGTTGCTGGCTGTGTACTTTAAGGTTGCTCTTTGTAACTATGGATATGTTAGCAGGAATGCTCCATTTTAGAATTAAACCTCTCTATCTTGCATTTATTCAGGAATTTTATAGGTAAAGAGTACCTTGAAAAACCCACTTTTCATCATGGACATGGAAAATTTGAATGCCTGTGGAACAGTTGATGGATGCTCCACTAGAAAACAACATTTGTCAGTGTGGATTTATTCTCTTCGGGTTAGGTTAAAGTTGAAGGTTTGCGGCACAGCTCATGGCTCATAACGATCCCAGTTAAGTTCTGGCATCAACTGACTCAGAAAAGATCTATAGTTTCACAGGGTCATATAATTCCTTGATCCCACATGTGAGATGATTTTGCAGACATTACAGACCAGTTAAGCTTATTTTTACTGGTCGTGATTATTGTGTAAACGCATATAGCCGTATTACATAAGCAGCTTTGTCTTGCATGTGCCCAATGGTGTGAAACAAACTAGGACGCACAGGGCGTGGAGATCCGCACAGCAACTCTATGCAGCTTTACTTTGAAAATTAAAAGGAAATAAACCAAAAAAATTACCTTTTAAAAAAATATATGAAAGCTGAAAAAAATACACTGAAAACATCTTTATTATTTATGTTTCAGCATCTTATATGCAACATTTTGAAGACTTCCCATTCAAAAGATATACTATTTTGTTTTAAATTGTTAATTGCTATGGTTATGTTCCTAATTTCTAATTTTGAAATCCATAGATTGGAAGGAAAGTGCACTAACCTCTGCAGCATGAGGTCCCTAAATAAAAATAAAGTTGCATATTGTTGCTTTGCTCTTTGCTCCAATATAAACCTGTATTGTTCAGGGTTCACTGGCGGAGAAAGTTTGAGCTCTACTGGTTTGACAGTGTTTATATTATATCTGTTCTTAACCTGTTGATTGCTACTTTCACTTTTTTGGAATGTTTTCGAACGGAACTAGATTGTAAACACAGTGGGAAAATTGGTAGTTTAGACGTGATAAAGGTGAAGCTAATATCATGTTGCTCTGTGGCAATAGTGAGTGTGGCTTTTGCATTTTATTGGCAGCACCTGATACCAGAGTGACATGTAAATAAAAAGTTACTTATATTACACATTTAGGTACATGAAGTAAGAGGAGTTTCCTGTCTATTGAGGTTTCAGAGTGCATTTTTAAAAATGAAAAGTTAAAATTACACTATGAAATTTATTCAGTGAGGGACCAGCACCTGCTTGCTTTGATAGAGATGTTATTGCTTTGTCTGGAAAGTCTGCTGTATAGCATTAAACCAATCTATCTGGTGTTTATCAAAATTATCATTATTATTATTATTATTTTAAATACCCCAAATAACCTGAAACTTACTTATTTCATGGTTGTATCTCCAAAGATCTAAGCTGTAATTTGACCTGTTTTTGTCACCCGCTTGTCTTCCTGACGATATCTATAATTTTAATGCCATATAATGCCATAATTATAACATCTATAGAGATGTGTAGGTATAAACCTTATTTACAGATTTTTTTGTTTTATTTTTAATTACTGGTAATTTGTCCAACAGTTTGTACAATGCTACGTTCAGTTTAGTATTGAGCAACATGATAATTTCTTCACTTCAGACCCAGAAAATCAGGGTTTGTTTTGGTAGTTGGAATAAGATTGTAATCTGTACAAATGATTTGAGTTTATGTTGATATGCATTTTGATGCAACAACTGAACCCAAATATTTAAATTGGTACAGTTTTTCTTGTGCATTAGCATCAGTGTGGTTATTGGTGGTTAGAATCTTATGTTAATGATGATTCTATAGAATAGACTGCTTTATTTGTACTTCATGTATAAAAGTTTTCATTCTTCATATGGTCAGTAAAGTATTCTAACTACTAGCAAGTGTATCTATATGTGTAGTTATTCTTTACTTGAGTATATAGTAAAAAAAATATCTGTGGACCAAACCATTTTAGGCTGCATCTTGTCTTAAATCTGCACTTCTTTAAATCAATAAAAACTATGTTTGCATTTTCTTTTGTACTGAATGTTTAAATGTTTTTGTTTTAGTGGCTTGCCTTGCTTTGTCATTGTTAAGTATAGGGGTGGTGTCCACGCTCCGTGCAATGTCATTATTTTCAAATACATTACAGCACAGACAGCACTCCACCCACAAAGCAAACAGTGGAGTTAAGATTGTTTTGATAAAATGCGTGCATCGACAGTATGACGTGCAAACTGGACCAATATGAGTATGGACGTTGAGAAACACATTTAATGGACTTTCTTTATCATGGATCTATTCTATACCCTCAAAAAATCTAAGATTGAACATTCAGTTTGTAGTTTTTTAGAAGTATTGTGACCAGACCCCAAAATGCTCATGATGCAAAAGTCAAATTAAATTCAAATAGACAGCCATGCAAAACATGCAAATTATTCTCTACAAACACGTGCGGCTCTCTGTGACAAACTCAACTAAAACGTGTGTATATCAATACAATGGTATTAGATGGTGATATAACACAATTGTTGACCAACACCAGGTGGAGCTATATAGCTTAAACTAAAGCACACAGGTTTGTTATACTTGAAAGAAGCAAGAGAAGTTCCATTTACATAAGGAAAATTGACTTCCATGTTTAATTATTTCAGAGCTTGAATTAGTCAAAGCATATAAAATATCAATTTGGTGGTTAGGAGCACAGTCAAAAAGAGCATTAGATGGTCATACTTAATCTGATTACGCAAGTCATTAAAAAAAAAAAAAAAAAGCAGTTCTAAATAACCCAGCTTGCCCAAATTTCACAAAAGCCTGCTGTATCAAATATGATACAAAAACATTCTGTTAAAGGGACAGAGTCAAGATTTTTTTTTAAATCTGTATATTCTGACCAATATTTCATGGGTCAGGCCTTTTAGGGTTAAGCCCAGACACCTATAAAACAAGAAACATGACACAGTTTATTTAGGAAAATATTTATGGGAATGTCAGATTCAAAGATCATTTCATTACATTCAGCTCAATCCACTTGTTTTACACACTTCAGTGCACTCTTCTTGTAAACACACTCAATATGATTGTAAGCAATTAAATCTCACTCTTAAATAATTTTGGCAAAACTCACAATATAGATAATTTAAAACAATTATGTCAAATACACTGTTTGAATCATTATTTTTTCTTATTCATAAAAACACAGAGAACTGAAGCAGCAGCTTGATCAAACCCAGCATTTGGACACAGCATCACACATCTGTGAAATCTAAAATATACAAAAACACTGCTGAACACCTACTACACCAAAAGTAAATAGGACAGAAATGTAGTCCCTAAACTATTGTCAGATGAACTACAACACTTTCTGTGAGAGGGATAAAGAAACTGTCTACATATGGTTATGTCTGTAAATACCAAAGGAAGGGATAAAGTTGTTTTCATTATAGTCTATGGTCAATCTGTGTGGAATGTGACAGATTCATAGGGACCCTGTATACCTATATAATAACAAAATAATTTCAGGGGTTATCATTTTCATGAAGAGGAGATTAGCTACTTTTGTCAGGAAAACAACGTTAGTTATACATGTAAGGACTAGGAACATTCTTGAATAGTCTATTATGCAAACTAAATTTAACTGCAATGTGTATCCAGATCCCCATATGGCATTTAGCAATATCCAAAATATACGCTACAATACTTAAAACAAAGTGCCACCTGAAGGTTGCATGTTGTGGTATAGTATATGTAATGTCAAATCAAGCCTAATCTAAATAAGCATTCTCACTTGTTTTATCAGCAAACTCAATAGAACAAATAAAACAGTACATATAAAATGCAAACATATAGTCAGTGCTTTGCAGGTAACCAAGCCACAAAATGAAAAATTATATAATATCAGCAACTTCAGACTGATTTCAGTGCAAGACAGTATTTACAAAGAATAAATGCATTCACAAACACATATGGGATTGCTGTCTGCAATTTTAAGATGTAAATGCTAAAGCATTAAGTAAAACATTTAAACTTTCCAAGTCAACTAACATTCAAAGGTCTATTCAGATATGGCTATAATCAGCATACACTTTCTCATATAGAAAGTTACATTGCAACACTCTAGAAAGAAGATCAAACTAGAGCCATTTTACCAGTAGACAAACACTGCTTGTATACTACCATCTTGTGGTAGAGATTTGGAACTGCTTTTGAACAATAAATGAACATATAATATTGTTAATAAAATAAAAATCTAAATGAGTATAACTAATAGTATAAATGCAAACACACAACTTGATAGCAAGGCAAATAATAGGGAAAGGTGTCTCATCTGCAAAAGCTGGGTGTAAAACAGCAGTTTTTGGCAGTAGTACGCAACATAAAAAGTCAGGCTCACAACATGTAGCTAAAACATAAACATGAAGTGGTCGGGTAAACTACAGTGCTGAGGTTCAATATTTCATTTAGAACGAGGTCATATCAAGTAGTAACAGCATTTATATGAAACCTCACAAATGTTTTGCTTTGTTTGTGCTCAGTAAGGAAATAATAAAATCTTTCCTCGTGGCCATGGCTTTGGTGTACAAATATTCACAAGTAAAAATGTATCATTTATAGATTATATAGATCTCTATATAAAGACTATGGCACAAGAGGTCAGAGCAAACAAAGCAAGATACAAATGAGCTAATGTAAACTAGGATATATATTTTAACAAAGGTTCTTTCAACAGTGAAGTAAAATAATGCATTTTGATTTGTGTTTTTTGCCAATTTGCCAACATAAACATAAAATAATTTCCATTGTCATTATATTTTTGGGTCGTTAAGCAATAAGTTGAGAACATTCTCTATAGCGGTAACTGCTACTTTAAATACAATTTGAAGCCACTCGTAGATTTCCTATGCAAACACTCAAATGCAGTTGGATTGTGGCTAGCCAAAACACAAAGTGATTCTGTAACGTTATGGCCACTCCACTGCGCACAAAGGCAACATTGTTTGAAAACTTTATGAAGACCAAGAAGGAAAGACTGGGGTCCACAATCCCCCTTTTGTTGCTGTAACTTACCTGGGTGAATAAAATTTTAATAAAGGCACACTGTGCAATTTTTCTTGGAAGTGGGTCCATCATCTGCTTGTCTCTATGGAGCCATTACTGAACCTGGCGTGTTCCACAATAAGATATTAAACATATCTATCTCTATGGAGACAAGCAGGTGATGCTACCAGGCAAATCTTCAAGGTCAGATCTGTGGAGAGGTGACCCAGGTGAGCCATAAAAATGCAACCACAAATATTTCAGGCAAAGTAATAATATGCCCATGAAGAAAAGCAGGTCACATACAGTTCACCAGAAAAAGTGACACAGTGCACCTTTAAATTTAATCAAAAGCAGTAGGTGACCAGAAAAGATGGGTGAACACAGATTACAGGTGGTTTTGGGATCATGCTCAAGAGGAGGCGAACCCCGGTGGCCTGGGGGAGTCATGCGGCGTGTTACTCTCGGTCTCTGAGTCACTGCTGTCGTCGTCATCTGTGTGTTCCGAGCTGTGGTACAACATCAGTGCTTGTGTCTTGTGAGTGATGGTGATGGTGCAGGGACCCTGGGCCCACGGCTCCCCATCCACCTGCATGGGCATCTTGGAGCTCTTCAGGACCAGCTGCACATGAGACATTATCACATTTTATTCAACTTGTATATTTCATAATTAAATATTAAATATTTGAGTATCTATAACATTATTAAACTTTGTTCCCTAATTTACATATAAGGGTCAATATTCAAGGTTAGGACATTTATTGTCCCCATGGCTACATTTGTTTTCTGCATTTGACCCATTCTTCAATGCCGCTCGAGCAACTTGTCAGAAGCAGATCTATTTTGACCTATGTTTGCATGTTCTGGGTTGATTTTAGTAGCATCACAATAAATAATTGTATTTTTGTTTTGTGGGTAAAACATATAATTAACAAGTGTTGTCACAATCCTATAATTATTTATTTACCGTATTTATTTTTATTTTTTTATCAGTCTTAATTAACATGTGGGTTTTGACTACCTTACAATTGTTATTACATCTTATCATTAATTATCATTTATTTAATGGTCTTATTTAAGTGTCAACTCATAAAAATGTGCCTTGAACTTGATCATGACTGTTCTTGCTGTTATTTTTGCTGAAGCTAAATGATCTGCGATCATTTCCTGCAGATTCTGTGTTATAAATGATGATTCAAATGTGTCATGAGAGTAAACAGCAGCTGTGGCTCGGCTCCTGGGTCTTGTCTGATTCGATTAAGAAAATGCACTTGGCTTTGAAAGTTAATTTAGTCCTTTCATGATCTTCTTTCAACTGTCATTTACAGCATCACACAAGAAGATAGCGTCTTAGCATAAATATGGGTAGCATCTGTGTCTTACCCGAACAGTGTGGGCTTGTCCCAGTCTCACAGGGTTGGCCAGTTTCACTTGGATCTGAGCGCAGTGGAAAGACCCATACACCCCCACCACCTCCAGCAGACCATCGTCCAGTCTGCAGGGAGAAACGTCATGGTAACAAAAAACTATGATTCTGATGAGATTGCTAATTTAAAGAAAACATGTTTTTTCTTTTGGGTACAAACCATTATTTTAAGTCTTGGTCATCCTTTAACACTAAATTATAATAGTAGATTCTTAAGCATTGGTCTGTTCAATGAACTAGCCTAGATTGTTCTCAACAACAACATTGAAAATAATTGTCTTGATGTGTGGTGACCTGTTATGTGAGAGTACTAGGGCAGTTGGAAAGGTTTATCATCTTATTACACAGAAGATCAAGTGATGTGCATAGAGATTATGGTAACTGTGGTAAAGCCCTACTAGACATGTGCAAGAGTCTCTGTTAATATAATAATTATAATAAATGTGTCAATAATATTAACATAGTAAAAATAACTACTCTTGAGAACAGTGATTGAGTGTGATTGATTATATGATTGGTTCAACATTAATTATAAGCAATGCCAACCTTTTCTATGTGCATGTCTTTGACAATGACAATGTCGAGTGGAAACTTTACAAGATGCAAATACTGGTGGTGGCAATTTGAAAGCAGACCAATTAGACCTGCCTGCCACGCAAAAACAAAGGTACGTTAGTAAATGTAATAATGAAAAAAATCCATGATTTTTGTTGACATAACAGTTATGGCTATGGTTGATGAACTGTTTTATAATGTTCAAAATATGCCTGTGGATGCAATTGCAAATAGGGTATGTGAAATCATTCTGAAAAATGAAAATACTATTTTTCCAACAAATATTAGGCAGAGAAAAGAACAGGAATACAACAAGGCTCTGTGGAAAACGAGAAGAGACTATCTACAGTAAAGACATTTAATTAAAAAAAACTGTCTGGCTTAAGATTTAAGAACCCAAAGCTTTTCTGGAAGAAACGGAACCATTCAAATAAACATGAAGAACATTGCCTGATTCTTATTGAGGTGTTTTGTGACCATTTTGAGGACTCGTCTGAACAAACTGAGACAGCATATGATTTCAGTGAGGTGGACTCTGGAGAGAACATGACCGATGACAACATTTTTAATTATTAAATTAAATTTCACAGAGAATTACAAAAAAAACAGCAATTCAAAAATTTAAATCAGGTAAAGCTGCAGGAGTGATCAATGAATACATTCAGAACACAGCAGAGATCTTTGGCACATATACATATATATCCTGTTTAACAGAATCTTGGACACTGGTGTCATCCTCATCAGTGGACTATCCTAATTTATAAGCACAAAGAAGATACCAAGGACTGTAATAACTTTCTTAAAAATAGGATTATTTGGAGCACTCATGCCTCGTAAGAAGGACAATGCAAGATTATTTTTAAAATTTATAAAATAAGATTAAAATTTATGATAAGAGAACATTGTTATAACATTGTTAGAAGCTCATAAAACTTTAGATAATGAGTCCAGTGATTGGCATCTTGCTATGTAACTAAGCATCAACTGCTCTGTACAATCAATCCTAGATAGGTTATTATTAGTAAGAATAGTCTATACAATGATTCATATCTTCGGTACTTGTTCTTGAGTATGTTACCTGGTTGGTGGATAAGGCTCATCTCCCATCCCTTCCCACAGCCGGCAACCTCCGCCCCAGTACCCGATGTTACACACAATAATACCCTCTAGACTGGGCAGGGTAATTCTTTCTCCATCCAACTCAAGCTATGGTCAACACAAAATAAGACAATAATGAATTAGAAAGATCAAACGTAATATTGTACAAAACTATTGCAGCCCTAATACAAAATGTACAAGTTGCATGCTGAAACAGCCACTCCAACAACTTAATATTAATTTTCATACTTTCATTATTTAAAGAGGGATTGCGTAACTTTTCTAGGTCATCACCGGTCACAGAGTAAGAATACAGGTTTTCTAGGCATATGTTAGTAAAACATGCAAAATTTAATAACTGTTAAATAAATACAGGAGACAGCAAATGCTGCCCCCACCAGAAAAGTTACATAGTGGCAGGACAAATGATCTTTTTCCTTTTTAAAAAAAAACCTAGCATTACCTCAATCCTCTTATCCAGATCCTTGCATTCTTGGACTAAGCAATCTTTGGTGCCATACAGGAAATACACAGCCTGGAGAAAGACATGGCATAGTTAGGAAACATATTCAAATAAAAGCATAGACCATAATTTCACAGTAAACTGACTTCAAATCCTACGGTACTGACCTTATTGATGATGCGACTGGAGAAAAAAGAAGGAGTTTTCTCTCGATGAGTGTGGAAATTAAGGGCCATCAGTGCATCCGGTCCAACAGAGAAATAATTATTCATGGACAGAACCTGCCATGAATAATCGCAGATTTAAATGAAGTCCTGTTTATGATCATTAATGACATACTGATACTGATGTATTTTCTTGTTTTTTTAATTCATCTCCCAGTGAGTAGTGATATACAAAAATTTATCGTCTTTCAAGTGCAAAGAGACTATGCTGGCTTGTCAGCCATTGTGAAGGAAATGCACAGGATATACTGTAATAAACATTATTAAGCTGCTATTAGTAATTAGTTTAACACCAAACAAGACCAGTTAAACAATGCAGAAATTTAAAAAAGTTTTGAGGGTCAACATAAGGGCTTTTGAAAGTGTTGTAGTCTCAATACGCCTATCCTTTTATGCCTTTTATGCCCACTATGGTGTAGATTCTCACGCTTACCTTTGGCTTGCGAAAATATGCACCTTTTGATGCTACCTGCACTTTCCATCTGTAAAATTGAAGTCTAGTTAGAATCAAAGCAAAATATAATTCATTGTCTTTTTAATGTTTTGAGAGCTCACCTGTCCATTTTGACCACTTCAGCGTCCACTACATTACGCAGCACCTGCTCCACAGGAATCTCTCCAGCGTAGCCCGCACCCCAGCCCAAAGTGTTGGACAGGTCATTACCAGTCCCTAGGGGCAGGATAGTCACTTGAGGGATAAATTGGTCCTGGCCCTGGCCGGAGCGTAAGTTTTATAATTAAATTGGCAGTAACACAGTAACAGATGGTGGAGCAGAAGAGAAAGGTACAAAAATATACTTCTTGTCTGTCCCTGCCAACGTACAACGTACCTTTAGTTTCATTGTGTCTATGGCATCCAGTACCCAGCCCACAGTGCCGTCTCCTCCACACACCAGAACTCGTACACTGCCTGGGGGGAGCAGAGTGCAGAGCTGCAGTGCTTTGGAGGGGTTCAGCTGAGACAAGTCAAAAACCTGTAAGGAGCAATCACACACTAAGTGAGAATAATGTTATGAAGATAGATGTGTGTAAAATCCCTCAGTCGTCCAGGTAAAAAAAAGAGAAATTCAGTTTGTCTAAAAAATTTTATTTCTCCTTTTTGCCATTATGAAGATAGATTTTAACCCTCACCACACACTGACCTGCACTGGATTGAGGAGGCTCCGAAACTCCCCAAGCAGCACCTCTCCCATGTTATTACCACTGCGTGTGTTTGCCAAAACCAATACAGGGCTCCAGCTGCTCCCACAGGACTCAGCCAGCTACAGAAAAAAAACGCACAAAGTAGTGAAAAACAAATAACTTTGGTAACCCTGAGTTTGGCGCACCTTGCTGTACTCATCCGGATGCCTGCGCCTGAGTTTGTTGACATGATAGAGGTAGTGAGGGGGGATGATGAGGCTGTGAAACTCTCCGAAGTCACACTGATCTGGTACATCACCCAGACAGTCGTCATGAACTGTCCTCTGGCACCACACACACCTGCGGACAGAGACAATCATGTAAAGAAGAGTCTGTTAGAACACTGCATTCAGTTAGTTTTGATCCTCACACCGGGCAAAAGTGACAAGGACATGACATCATCATGAGAGCAGCCATTAGGGCGTATTAAAACAGGATTAATCCTGGTGAGCTGTTATGTCGATATCACAGAACACATGACTTTCTCTCACCCTTTTGACTCTGACAGGTGAGAGCTGACACCTGTACACCTGTCACTCTTTACCTGAAGTCGCACAGTTTGGGCTGGGTCCCACACTGTTGTTTACACACAGCGCAGTAACTGGCGAGCGGTACGTTGCCCCGGACCCAGCGGTGCTCGATGCCCCCGTCGGCGCGTGAGGGTGCCATGATGTCCTTACAGGGCAGGCTGCGGTCCGCGGGGCGCAGGCACTCGTCGTCCGCGCACACCCCGCAGCAATCGCAAAAGGCACCCTGGAGGATGTGCTGGGAGCACACGCAGCAATAGGTGGGCTTGTTGAAAAGATCCGTGTAGTGCCAGCCGTGTTTGCTTTTACGGAAGAATTCCTTCATGTGCGTCTTCCGCTTTGAGCGCTGCACGCTACACCATAACGTAATAATGACAGGCACCGCCACGGCCAGAGATGTCCACAGCAACAGCGACCAATCGTCCCCCACCTCCGCAGCCATCGCTACGGGCTGTGGCCGCCTAAAGAGCGGCGTGAAAGAGCGGAAACCGGTGAACTGGAGCTACGTGGACACTACAGACCAAAACCACAAAGCAGATGTCCTCCACACGGTGCCCATGATCGTGCACTCAGATTCAACGCTGGCAGATAACAGCAGACAAACAGATGAGTCTCAAAGAAAGCGAAACATCACATCCACAGCTGTCGGACGCACAGACAGCAGCTCCAGCGCTAACTTAGCTCCAACAAAGATCATCAGAGAAAGATGCAGAAGTCCTCAGCCTCTGCACTAGGGCGCACAGCGACACCATGCGGCAGTTCGCTGCAGAAGCCCTAGAGAATATATTTTAGCTTTTCTAATATAGACAAAATAACCGTGGCAATTATCACTTAACGTTTTACTGCGCCCGAAAACGCATTACAAGACAACTACATTGAAAACTGCCATCAATCCACGTGGCAGGATTGAAAACACGATGTCTTTCTTACAGGTTTGTCAAAACAGGAAGCGCAGCGTAAAGTGAGGATTAGGGAAAGTTCATGGTCTTTGCAGACTAGACGCACGCATGCGCTGTGAGCACAGCGACTGTCAGCCCCTGGTATGCGGTTGTGGATATCCGCTCTCTTTTATTCAAAGTGCAAAGCCAATATCCATGATGTAGAGACACGAATCGTACCCGCTTTGTTCTTTTGGGAATACGCAACTTTTAGACAGATGTAGTCAGATAAACAGTTAATGAATTTTAATTGAGGTTCATTTAGCCTAAAGCATTGACCTAATGTTATTTTTTATTTCATTTAATGACTGATCGATGCATGTTACTGACGTGCGCTTTCCTCCTGTGTTTCTGTTGTCTAATACATAGGTACTGCCATCTAGTGGACACTTGCAGCCATTGCTCAATGGGCACTTTAAACATCATTGTTGATAAACTTCTATTAAAGTGTATTATTACACACAGTGCATACACAATTTAATATTACCTATTTCTGATTATGTCATTACCTCGCTCACTGTAGCAGTTCTGCCCTCTGCTGACTGTTGAGTATACTAGTCTAGGAGCAGTAGGGGAGGAGAGGACCCTGGACCTCCTCTTGGTTCAGTCAGGACCCCCAGACCAGTCTGTAGCGAAGCAGTGAAGCAGTACCCAACCAAGTGGACAAGATGAAGAAGCTTGCTGTGTTTTTGCTCTGCATGGTCCTGCTGACCACCTATACAGGTACGGATTCATCACAGAATAATTTATTTAGGCTACTTCATTAATGAATACATTTTGTATATTTAGATTATATAGCTGGTGCAACACACCCTGTGCAGCAGCCCCATAAATTCCAGTTTCCACACAGAAAAGATAAAGTGATGCATTTGCAAAGCTCCTCCTAGTTAAGGTAAAATGTGTTTTAAAAAATATTCTGTTTATTCATTCATAAATCTAACATTCCTCCTTTTGTATGCATTTGCATACCATAATTAGCACATAGGCCCATTATTATTTATCACTGTGCACATTGTGCTCAATGCACTTATCAAAGCTGTTTTTATTTACGTTCATATTTTAAAAACTAATCACCACTACACTTTGCCACGTTAACCCAGTAAGTTTGCAGCATTCCTTGTATTGACAAAGGTTGGTATTTCGACAGCAGCCTCCTCCAGCAGCGACGAGGAGGGGGGGCGGGTCTGTTTGCCATCTGGGGTCACGTGATGCATGGACTCCCTAGAGACAGACCATGAATGGACACTTTGTTAGTTTCCTCCAAAAACTCAACTTGTCAAAGCTGAGGGAGAGTTTGTGTGTTTGTGAGGGTCAGAAAGGAGGCGGGGATGTCCCAGTGGAGTAAGTGAGGTTGAAAACGACTAAAACATGCGCTTGGTAAACAAATAAGGGCAGCCGCAGATAGTGGTGAGTGAGAGAGTTATTCATGGAGTGAAGCACAAGTCTCAGTATAAGCAGTGTTTTTGCATTAGCCAATACCCAGCTGTTACTTAGTCTACAGAAACAACATAACTGTGGCAGAGGTTAGACACAAGAGGAAGTGCACAGAGGAAATCAGCAACAAGGTTAAGATTTACCATCAGGAGTAAATCTTAGCCAGTTTATGTGCATATGTTAAGTATTTTGTGTTTTGTTTGAGTTTGTGCATAGCTCTTTGACTGACTGTGATATTTTTAAAGCATTCTAAATAAAGCTGGATTGGATGAACAGTGTTACAGACACATGAACCTCCATTACTTTCAAAATGTGTTATCTTGTCTCATAATCTTTTGTTGATCTGTATGTTCAGAGGCCAACCCTATCATCAAGGAGAACTTTGCTAAGCAGCTTCTTCGCAGTAAGAGGCAGAAACCTGGTCACCCCGATGAGCCAATGAGGGTAAAGACATACTGTATATACACTGTCATGGCAATTTATGGAAATACTGTATATAAACATGTTATAGACCTACCTCATAAAGCTGCAAAAATGTATTATTTTAAAACCACTAATTGACATTTGCTCTTTAAGGCATTTATTAACAATCTATAGACTGCAACATATATATATATATATATATATATATATATATATATATATATATATATATATATATATATATATATATATATATATATATATATATTCATAAGTAAGGATTCAGCAGCCAAAGAATGAAATAAAATTGCAAGTGTATGAGATCACCAAAAAGAGATGTATCTTATTGAACACAAAAAACCCCAAACTGCTCATAAACTCTGAGAGTAAATGCAGTTAAGTATTCACTTTCTTTTTTTTTCAGGAGCACCTACTGTACATGCAGGTCCTGGATCAGAGAGCCCAGGAAACCACCAGGGAAAACTGGCTCAATCCACACTGCTACCCCCGCTGCAACAATAACTATGGCTATCCAGTGTGAGGAGGGTCCTGTCTGTGAAGGGTCCCACTTGGGAAATGGGTAATCCCAAATTTGCTGAATGTGCTACAATCAGGGAGTTGAAGGTCTTGTATGGTTTTGTATGGTCATTTAATCTGTGTTTATCTTTTATAGGAAAAAGATGATGCTAGAGAGACATGAGAAGAAGAAATATGACATATGTATTTAATTTTGAATGATATCTACAATAGATGGACATGTAATCCCATGTAAACACTGTAGTTAGATAATAATGTTTCTTATATACATATAATAATAAAAACAACATAGAAGTGATGATTTTACAGTTGATCAGTTTTCTTCCCTGCAAGTGTCCCTTCTTATTTAAGATTATTGCCAGGAACGTTTCACTGTCAACTGGCATATTTGCGGGTACGCCTGTAATCTCATTAGTTTGCTGGCACATTGTGAGTATTCTACCTTTTTTTCTGCTTCCAATGCCACAAGACAAATTAACATCTGTAAGCTCTTCAAACTGTTTAACGCGTAAAGAGATCCGCCAACAAATGAGAACACCGAGCACACGCAAATCACCGTGACTAATTGAAATGTGAGTTGTATATTAGCCTGTTAGTTGTTAAAATTGGGCCTTCTGTTCGGGAACCTATAAACTATTGAAAGTTATTAATACTTCTATTGGCCTAGTGGCGTGTGCACGCGCACGGCATTGGAACAAACGTCGCAACGCATCCTAATTTAAACAGATTACCTGAATAAATAAA